TCATCGTCATCATCAGCATCTTCATCATCATCATCGTCATCATCATCATCACCATCATCATCGTCAGCATCATCATCTTCATTATCATCACCCTCATAATCATCATCGTCAGCATTAGCATCATCGTCACCATCAGCACAGTCGTCTTTAACGGCACCATAAACATACTCGTCGCCACCATCATCAGTAGCATCACTTTACGCGGCCCCACATAGAGCTCCACCGAAAGCCCCCGTGGCTTGGTTCAGATGGTGGCCCACCACTTTCCGGCACACCCCATCACAAGCCTCGTGGCTTCACGTGGAGCTCCACCGAAAGCGCCAGTGGTCGCGTCCGCATGGCGTCGCCTCGCCTTTCGCTTCGCCCCCCTCAGTTGAGTGTGGCTTTGCGTTATTTGGCGAAGCGTTCAGGGGCACTACAGATCCCTGAATATTTTCATGCGCTTTGAGTGACCCTGCACGTGATCGCCACACGTTAACAGAGAGTTGGGTTAGTGGCCAGGGTAATTTTAGCCGGGGTCACATGGTGACCCGCCCGATTTCGGCAGACACCTCACACGCTTGGCGGCCCCAAAGGACGTTCCACCGAAGGCCGCCGTGGCTAGGTTCACGTGGTGAGCTGCCTCATTTCGGCACACCTCTCACGCGTTCCGTGGCCCCACAGGGAGCTCAACCGAAGGACCCCGTGACTGGGTTCACATGGTGACCTGCCCAATTCGGCACACCTCTATCTAACACACTTCGTGGCCGCACAGGGAGCTCCACCAGGCGCCAGCGGCTGGGTTCACATGGTGACCCACCCCCGCGTTTTGTGGTCCACCAGGGAGCTCCACCGAAGGCGCCGACGGCTGGGTTCACATGGTGACCCGCCCCTCTTCGGCACACACACACACACACCTTACAAGCTTCGTGGCCCCACGGGGAGCTCCACCGAAGGCGCCAACGGGCTAGGCCCACATGGTGACCCGCCCCATTTCGACCCACACCCGTCTCACGCTTCGTGGCCCCACAGGGAGCTCCACCGAAGGCGCCAACGGCTGGGCCCACATGGCGACCCGCCCCATGTCGGCACACCCCTCGCTCAACCGAAAGCCCCCGTGGCTAGTTCAAATGGCGGCCCACCCCATTTCGGCACACCTTTCACACGGTTCGTGACCCCACGGAGAGCTCCACCGAAAGCGCCAGTGGCTGGGTTCACATGGTGGCCCGCTACACTTCGGCAGACCCCTCACACGTTTACTGGCCCCACGGAGAGAAACACCGAAGGCCCCGGTGGTTGGGTTTACATGGTGCCCCGCCCCAGTCTGGCACACCCCTTGACGCGTTTCGTGGCCCACCAGGGAGCTCCACCGAAGGCGCCAACGTCGCATGTTGACCCGCCCCATGCAGGCACACCCCTCGCACGTCGCGTGGCCCCAAACGGAGCTCCGCCGAAGGCCCCCGTGGCTAGGTTCACATGGTGGCCCGCCACTTTCCACCACACCCCTCACACGCCTCGTGACCCCACGGGGAGCTCCACCGAAAGCGCCAGTGGCTGCGTCCGCATGGTGTCTCCTCGCCCATGTCGCTTCGCCCCCCTCAGTTGAGTACGGCCTTGTGTTCTTTGGCGAAGCGTTCAGGGGCACTACACATCCCTCACTATGTTCATGCGAATTGAGCGGCCCTGCACATAGCCGCCACGCGTTAGAAATCAGGGTTGGGTTACTCGCCGGGGTAATGTTCATACAGTTGCACGATTTGCGGATACCGGGTTCTTCGGTTTCCCATGCTTCCGAAACCGCCCAAGAGGCCACGAGAGCCACCCCAAGGCAACCCGAGAAAGGCCCGCGCGCAGTCCACGACAGCCCCAGGACGGCCCCACAGGAAGGCCCAGGCTGGCCCGAAGAGGGCCCCATGACGGCCCAGGAGGGCCCCAAAACGCCCCCTCAATGCCCTCCAAAGCGCGACCCGGTCGACGAGGGAGACCGCGGCTCGCTCGCGGCAGGGCGGCCCCCAGCACCCCACACAGGGCGCCCAAGAAGGCTCCAAGAAGCCCCGATGCAACTTTCGCGAAGTCCCCAAGAGGCTTTCCGCGGAGGAGCCATTGACGAAACTCGGAGGCCGTGGACAAATCCGCAAAAAAATGCGAGAACAGAGAAACGGAGTAGGAAATATTAGGTTTCGGGGATCGGCGTTGCTTTCTCGCCGCGGCCATCGGCATTGCACCCTAAAAATGTTGACGCGGCCCCCTCCTTCACTTTACTCTTCTCTGTGGAAACCGACGACGGCGCGGCACCGCGAATCGGGAAACTGCCATCGCGGCCGCCGCCGCGCGCGCAACACGCGACGGCGCCCAACACCTCCGCGGCGACGCGGCCGTCGCCAGGATGGTCGCGACCAGCGAAAGCGTTCGCGACCGATACGCCAGCGAACGACTCCTCGCTGACCAGCTTTTCGACCCCGGGCGCAAATATGCGATGTGCCCCGGCCAGGCCCATCGCCGCGACCTGGACGCCCTCACCCCGAACCTCGGCCTCGAGCAGCACCCGGTCGGACAGAGCCACCTGCTCCACGCTGCAGGTCTCCGTTTGGAACTTACTTTTCCACCCCGACCGAACATGTCGCGCAACAGGTGATGGGAAATCTGGCCGAAGAACTCTCCCAGATAGACGTCACTGGGCTCAAGAAGGGGGGAGAATGAGGAGGCACAGCGTCATCAAAGGGGGGGAACGAAGAACAGGAGGAGGAGGAGGAGAAGGAGGATGGGGGGAAGGAGGAAGAGGAGGAGGATGGGGCGAGGAGGAGCGAGGAGGAGCGAGAAATAAACGCAATCCAGACGGAGGGCAATCCCGCGCTGCACTTCGCCGCACGGCGGCGCGTCGAAATGCGCGGCGCCACCCTCTGCCGGGCGAAAGCCACGCGCACTGTTGCCATCAGAAGCCCTGTGTCAAGTTCAGTCATAGTCGGGCTATGTGAAGCCATTGGGTTATGTGAACGTGGATGCCGCCAGGACGTTGCAGAACAGGGCGCGCCGGTTGGGCTGTTTCCCAGCATCATTGGTAAACCACTGGGAAAATGCTAGGGCAATTTGACTGGACGCGCACTGCTTGCAATACCTCCACGCAAACGTATGACCCGTTCTGTCTTCGTAGAGTTGCAACGCCGACACACTGGCAAACATATTGTACAGCTGGAAGGCCCAGATCGCGCGCTAACACAGGAAAACACCGAAATGCAAAGCCTTCGTTCGCGCAATGATGGCGGCGTATTTGCTGCCACATGGCATGTACTGGCACGTAAACGAATGAGTAGTCTCAACGCCGCGAATGCCCCAACGCTTAGCTCGACGATTTAAAGAACAAGACTCAGTACCATTATCGTTCGACGACTGTTTCATTGGCGTTTTCCAACCAGGAGACTCGACCCACTAGTTTGAGCAAAAACACTTCTTGCACGATGCCCAGTCCTTTATGGGCGCGCGCACAAGCCCTTCAAACTTGCGGTGAAAAATTGGACCAGCGGCACACAACGGGTGAATACCGATAAAATGTCATACGCTGCGTATGTTCGGTTTTTCACCGCGCGGTCGATTAACATCATACAACTTATCCCCAGCGGCCGCAAGAACCATGAGGAACACGTAAGCATCCAAATATATCCATGTATATACATTTCCCCCCCCCCAGGATGACAATCGATGACACATCACGGCCAGCAGCGCCACTACATACATCCGCAATGCGATCGCCACAAGGTGCAATACACAAGGCACGGATATGCTTAGAGGTTCCGCTACTCATTTGGAGAACACTATCCCAACAAAATGTGGCCCTTTTCCCGCCTGCCAGGGCCTACTGATACGAATTCCCACCAAAACGTATCCGCCAGAGCTGGCTGGTGCCAGGTAGGAAACCCTGAAGATACATTATACATATGTTAATTTAAAATATGGGCTGATATGTGTACTTTATCACGACAAACAAACCACTCGAAAAGATGCTTTTGCTCTGAGCGGGAGAAACGAGATGGAAGAATTAGAAGAAACGACAAACGCAACTATTGATTTGATCGAAGTTCCTGCCGTCCCGGATTCGTCAAGAATGGTTGATTGTGTTGCTTACACTGTGGCTTTACATGGCTTATTGAATGTGCGCTGTCCTTGTCACAGTGTCACATGTTTCGCATTGTCGGCGTCCCGTCAAAAAGTAGCCCGCGTGAAGGCTAAGTAAAGCGAACAACACTTGAAGCAAGCAGAGTAAGGCAACTCACCTTTAGCAGGGAAGTCTGGTCTCCCTGCACCAAAAATCATAAAATCGCAAGGGGACCAAACCAAGCTGAAGCCGAAAAGGAATACAAGGAAGAAAGGGGAGGAGGAGAAAGACGATGCAGGAGGATGGAGAATGAGGAAGAAGAAGAGAGATAATGATGAGTAAGAAGCAGCAGCAAGACGAGGAGAGAGGAGGAAGAGGAAGGGGTAGGAAGGAGACGAAGGGGAGGAAAAGCGGAAGGGGAGATGCTGGGAAGCAGCAAAATGATAACGAGAAAAAAAGGCGAAGCAGCAGCAATGGGGGAGAGAGAAATGATGAGTGAGAGGGAGAGGAGAACGAGGAAGAGGAGAGATGAGGAAGGATGCAGGAGAGTGAATGGCGGATGATGGAGTAGATAAGGGATGGAAGACGCGGGATGGAGGACGGAGAATGAGTAATTGAGGATGGAGTATGGAGTATGGCGTGCTGAAGTTGGGGTATCGGGGATGGAGAAAGAGGAAGAAAGTGAGGGGAAAAAAACAACGAGGGAGAGAGTAGGGGTAGGCCGAGGACACCGGGAAAAAGACAGGCAAAGGGAAGGAGGACCAGAACGAGGAAGAGGGAAGAAGAGATTGAGGAAGAGCGGAAGGGGGTGAGGGCACGAGGAAAGGGACGAAGGGTATACAAAGGCGAACAAGGACGAGGAGGGGGAGAAGGGAAGAGGAAAGACGAGGAAGGAGGAAAAGCAGGAGAAGGAAAAGGTAGAGTGTTGCGCCTTGGTTGTCATCGAGCGGCAGAGAGACGTGTTCCTGAGGTCTGGCATCAATGACATCTCTTGGGCGCCGTGCGCGTACTTGCAGGCCTCGGGGACGGATGGGAAGGAGGAGAAGGAGGAGGCGGAAGAGAAAGAGGAAGGGGCGGAGAAGGAGTGGAGAAGGAGGAGGGGAAGAAGGAGGAGAAGAAGGAGGAAGGAGGAAGAGGGGGGGAGAAGGGGCAGGAGGGGGGAGAAGGAGGAGGAAGATCATTGTATAATTGCTGATGCCCTTAAGGGCAAGCATAACCCTGTCGAGTCGGATGGGGCACATGGGCTCTTCCATCCTTGGAGCGGTGCTCGTGAAGGGTGGGATGACAAACCGTCTGGTCCCAGAGTCTGTACAGGGACGCACGTTGGCACCTGGTATTGGTGGATGCTACGCGTAGTCCACAAACCCCGAGACAACCACCTTTCTTCGACATCTAAAGCCCGACGGGGACGTGCTCTACGGTAGCCACTACGGTTAGTTCGGGCATATCCCCCTACAGGCCGATTCTGGATGAAAAATCAAAAATACTCAAAAATAGTGATAAATAGTCGAACAATCGTCGCCCGACTATTTTTTGACGGTTCTTGATTTTCCTCCTGTAGAGGGACACGCCCGACTTGACACTACCGCCGCCCACCTTACGGGTGACAAGTCGCGCCGCCATCCTGGTGGTGACGAGAATGGGCCCGTTCCACAACATGGCGGCATGGAAAACACGCTCTGCAGCAGGCCGAGGCGCCTCCCAGGGGGGACAGAGGGACCTGCTCCACCGCATGGCGGATCACCGCCCTGAGCCGAGTTTCGGCCACGTTCGTGGGACAAGCTCTCCAGCCATCCCACACAAGCCATCCTACTCATACCATCACACGGATCTCTACACCCGCTGGCGGCGGTCGCATTTGAGACGAGATTTCTTCCTCACTTCCTGCCCCCACGCACGACACTTGGCTCCGGAAGGCCGTTTTTGACGCGAGGTCAGATCTCACGCCGATGTTTAGCCATGCTGGCTAGCTTGAGGGTGTTGACTACGGAGCCAAACCCCCAGCCCCTTTACATTCTTTGAAAATCACCCTTCAAAAAATGCTTCAAAGGAGGAAAGACGTTCATGTTTAGCCATGCTGTCTAGCTTCAAGTCATGCGAGCATCATCGATTACAATGCTGATCGGCCCATCCGCCGACCCCCGCTTGCCGGGGGTGGAATGGCGTGAGACATTTAACTTTTCCCCCTCCCCCATTTCCCCTTCCCCTTCTGTCCAAAATGCCATTCTGGGGGGGGGGGGGGCACAAGCTCGTCAACGCACCCCCAGGGCCTCCGGAGCCCCCAGAAAGCCCCAAGACAGCCCGACAGGGTCCAGACAGAGCGCCAAGACAGCCGAAGAGAGCGTCATGACGGCCCAGGGAAGCCCGACGACGATCCAAGATGGCTTCAAGATGCCCCACGAGGCCCCCAAGACAGCCCAAAAGCGCTTGCTGAGGATCGCAGAGAGGACCACAAGATGCCAAAATCATCCCATCCCTAAAGACATACATTTTCAGCACATTCGCATTGTACGTTTCGACAGCGAACACGACGGCCCAAATGGCCCCCTAAATCGTCCCAAGACGGCCCATAATGCTTCCAAGAAGGCACCAAGACAGCCCAAGAGGGCCCAATAACAGCCCCAGGCAGCCCCCAAGACGGCCCAAGATAGCCCCTGGAGGGCCCAAAGAGAGCTCGAAGAAAGCCCACGAGGAGAAGCACGAACTGACGTTTCGAGGCTTTCCCGCTAAGATGGCCCTTCGAGCTCCCCAGAGGCCCCAGAAGGCCCTCCAAGAGGCCCCAAGAGGCCTCCAAGACGCCCCCAAGAAGTCCCCCAGAGGCCCCCACGACGCCCCAAGAAGCCTCCCACATGACCCCAAGAGGTCTCCGAAAGAGGCCCCAGAGAGGACTCCCAAGAGACCATCAGATTCATCGAGGTGGCTCCTGACCCAAGATATAACGTCCACGATCGTCTCACAAACACTCATTCCTTGTGGGGTGCGGCGGAATGGCGTAAGCCACTACAGTAAGAGAGGGCACAACGGGCAGCTGTCGTGATCAATCGTGGTTCAGATAACGGACCATGGAAGGCGGATGGACGTGAGAGCGCGCAGGACCGCAGGCCTTGCCACCAGACTGCGTCCTTGGGGCAACTGCCTCGCGACGGGGTTCAGCACAGAATTCATGGATGCACACGAGCTGCCACTGCCGCCAGGCAGTGCCCACGAGGAGGCGAACCGTGGTTATCAGGGAAACGTGCGAGCGTGCAGGACAGCCGGCCTCGCCAGGTTGTGTTCCTGAGACAACCGCCTCGCGACGGGGGTAGGCGCCCAACAGGATACCGCGGTGGCGGAGAGACGCGAAGGCGTGCAGGACCGCTGGCCTAGTTGCCGGCCTGTGTCCTCGAGGCATCTGCCTCTCGACGGGAGCGGGCGCGCAGAGCCTGCGGATGCGCGAAGGCTGGCACTGCCGCCCGCGCACGCCCAACAGAAGGGCACGAAGCGCGCTGACGGGCAGCACGCGATCGCTGGCAGGACCGCCGGCCTGCCGGGGCGAGCTGTGTCTTTGAAGCAGACGTCTCGCGACGGGGGAAGCGCGTGGATTTGTTGTATTATTATTGTTTATTTTATTTGTCTTTATTTTTTTGGGGGGGGAAGCGCGTGGAATTGGATGATGCACGCTAGCTGGCACTGCCGCCCGGCAGCGCCCCAGGAGGAGACGAACTGTGAGAGCCGGGGGGACGTGAGAGCGTGCAGGGCAGGCGACGAGTCCCTGGAGAAGAAGTCCCAGGCCCAATCAAGCGGAGCCTCCCTCTCAGAATGAAGAGGGGGAGGAGGAGGAGGAGGAGGAGGAGGAGGAGGAGGAGGAGGAGGAGGAGGAGGAGGGGGGAGGAGGAGGGAGGAGGAGGAGGAGGAGGAGGAGTAGGAGGAGGAGGAGGAGGAGGAGGAGGAGGAGGAGGAGAAGGAGGAGGAGGAGGAAAAGGAAGAGGAGGAACAGGAGGAGCAGGAGGAACGGAAGGACGAGGAGAACAAGGAGCAGAAAGCCGAGCAAGAGAATAGCAATACTAGCGCGACAACGAGAACATTATTGCTGCTGGTGGTGATGATGAAGGTGATGATGGTGATGATGATGATGGTGGTGGTGATGATGATGATGATGATGACGATGATGATGATGATGAAGATGATGATGATGATGGTGATGATGATGATGATGATGCTAATGACGATGATGCTGATGATGCTGATGATGCTGATGATGCTGATGATGCTGATGATGATGACGCTAGTAGCATTGGGGCGCGATGTCCCGCTCGAGCGACAAAGGCGCGCTGCCATGTGGGTAAAACAACCTGTAAGGCAGATGGATTCATCATGCTGCCGTAATTCTACAAGCCAGGGTGCGTCGTTGAGGTGCGAGTAACTCATCGAGTGGTACGCTTCGTACGCGATGAAAGTTGCCTTGAACTCCTCGGGCGTTGTTGCATTCATGGCGGGCGTTTCGAGACGCATTGGCGGCAGGCACTTCCCAATAACTCTAAATACAATGGACCAGAGCGGGCAGAAGTCGGCGCCGTGCGTCAACAACTCGTCCTGGGCGGGACAGCGGAGAAGACACGGGAGAACGACATCCTCGTGGAAGCGCGCAGCTCCTTCTTCAACACCTCAAATTATCCCGGCAAAGCAACCTAACAGCGATGTGTAGAAGCATATCTGAAAGCATTCCCCTTAAGATTCAGATGAAAATCCAGTTGTCGAATTCTGCTGTTCTCGCAGTCGTAGTCGCATTCGCGATGACAGTCGCAGCGGCAACGGCAGTCGCAGTCACAGCCTCAGCCTCAGCCTGCCTCCTCCTCCTCCTCCTCTTTCTCCTGCTCCTCCTCCTCCTCCTCCTCCTCTTCCTCCTGCTCGTCCTGGTTCTCGTCCTCCTCGTCTTGCTCGTCCTCCTCCTCCTGGTGCTCTCTCCTCCTCCTCCTCCTCCTCCTCCTCCTCCTCCTCCTGGTGGTCCTCGTTCTCCTCCTCCTGGTGCTCTCCCCCCCCCTCCTCCTCCTCCTTCCTCCTCCTCCTCCTCGTCCTCCTCCTCCTCCTCCTCCTCCTCCTCCTCCTTCCTCCTCCTCCTCCTCCTCCTCCTCCTCCTCCTCTGGTAGTCCTCCCCCTCCCCTCCTCCTCCTCCTCCTCCTCCTCCTCTTCCTGTCGTCTCGTCCTCCTCGTCTTGCTCGTCCTCCTCCGCTCCTCCTCCTCCTCCTCGTCTCCTCCACTCCTCCTCCTCCTCCTCCTCCTCCTCCTCCTCCTCCTCCTCCTCCTCCTCCTGGTGGTCCTCGTTCTCCTCCTCCTGGTACTCTCCCCCCCCCTCCTCCTCCTCCTCCTCGTCCTCGTCCTCCTCCTCCTCCTCCTCCTCCTCCTCCTCCTCCTCCTCCTCCTCCTCCTCCTCCTCCTCCTCCTGGTACTCCTCCCCCTCCTCCTCCTCCTCCTCCTCCTCTTCCTGGTCGTCCTCCTCCTCCTGGTCGTCCTCCTCCTCCTGCTCGTCCTCCTCCTCCTCCTGCTCGTCCTTCTTCTCCTGCTCCTCCTGCTCCTCGTCCTGCTCCTGCTCGTCCTCGTCCTCCTGGTCTTGCTCGTCCTCCTCCTCGTCGTGCTCTTGCCCCTGCTGAAAATGTGGCCCAGGAATGGGAGTTCTGGGAAGTCGAAGAGCACGAAGTTGCCTACAGTTGGCTACGGGCATTCAAAATGTGGCCCGGGAATGGAGTTCTGGGAACTCGAAGAGCACGAAGTGGCCTACAGTTGGCTCCGGGCATTCAAAATGTGGCCCGGGAATGGAGTTCTGGGAACTCGAAGAGCACGAAGTGGCCTACAGTTGGCTCCGGGCATTCAAAATGTGGCCCGGGAATGGAGTTCTGGGAAATCGAAGAGCACGAAGTGGCCTACAGTTGGCTCCGGGCATCCAGAATGTGGCCCGGGAATGGCGTTCTGGGATGTCGAAGAGCACGAAGTGTGTGACTGTTGCATCTGGTTATTCTAAATGTGGCCCGGGAATGGCGTTCT